GGTGCGGGCGCGACACTGAGGGTTGCGATCCGTTGCCAGACACAGAAAAAGAAAAAAAAAAAAAAAAAAAAGAAAAAGAAATGGAGATACATATAGGGAGATAAATGGAGGGTGGTTAAATGTATTGTGGTACATTTCCTAAGAAAAGTTAATATCGTATAGACAAGGTGGAGGAAGGGCCAGAATGATCAATGGAACAGAACAGAAATTTAAGTTATGATGCAGATGGCATTTTTAATTGTGGAGGAAGGTAGATTATTATATAGTGTTATGAGAACACATTTAGAAAATAAAGACAAATCCCTCATACCATAAACAAAAGTACATTTGAGTTAGATGAAATATTTAAATGTAAGAATTAAAACCTAATAAGTCAGAATAAAATACAGAGAATAATTTAATAGTAATCTTTAACTATGGGCAGAATGAATTATTTTACTAAACCTAGAAGTCATGCAGGAAGAATCTGGCAAAATAGATTGACTATATGAAAATTTAAATCTGTATAACAGCAAAAGAGATGGTAAAGAAAGTAAAAAGGCAAATAATATACTGCTTTTTAAAAAAGTTCACAGCATAAATGACAAAGTATTGAAGATATTTTGAAATATATGAAGATAAAGGGTATAAAAAGTCAGTATACATAGAGTGAAATACAAATGTTCGACTTACTCAGAGAGAAATAAAAATCATATCAACAAGATATTTTTTGCCTATCAGATTGGAAAATGTTAAAAATAATAGTGCTGTCTGGTGCTGATGAGATGGAGGGAAATGCTATTGATTAGAATGTAAATTGGTGCATTCTTTTTGGAAGTGAATTTGTCAATATCTATTAAAATTTAAAATGCCAATTTCCTTTGATCCAACACATGATAATGTATCTTAAGAAGCTAATAGGACAAGTATGCAAAGATAAATATATGGGGATATTTTACAGCATTGTTTATAATGGCAGAAAATTGGAAACAATCTAAATGTCTTTCAGTAGGAGATGCGTTCAATAAATTATGGTATATTTCCTACAAATGACTGCGTAGTCGTCAGAAGAGATTAGGTTGATCTTTATCTAATGACATGGAAAGATGATGATATTGAGTGAAAAAAGAGGGCTGGCCATTTGGCTGAGTTACAGCAGAGCCTTGTAAGAACAAGGTCATGGGTTTGGATCTCTGTACCAGCCAGCCACCAAAAAATAAATAAATAAAAAGCAGCAGGTTGCAGAAGAGCAAGTGTAGTATGATCCCATTTATGTGGCTCAAATGCATTAAAAAATACAGAAAGAGACTCAACAAAATATGAAGAGAGATTTACCAGAGATCATGGAGATAGTTATTTCTAGAGAATAAAATTACTGGAAACTTTTTTTTTTTTATATCATCTGTATTTCTAAAAAAGAATAACCAAAATAATTTTTAAAGAAGTAAAAATCACATATAGTCAGAAAAAAACTTATACACAGGCACACACACATATCTCCATTGTAGGGAAAGAAAAAGAATGGTACTATATGCTATGCATTCTTTGGAGTTCGTTTGGGTTTTTTTGGTACATATTTATGGAGTGCTTGCTGTGTAGTAGTTGTTGATCTAAGCAAGTCACTCATATTAAATACATTTAATCCTCCCCAGCAACCTATGAGGTAAGTATTATGATCATAATCAACATTTTACAGATGAACAACAGAGAGGTTAAGTAACTTACCCAAGGTCACACAGCTAGGGAATAGCACAGATGGAATTGAACCCAGGTAGTCTGGCTCCAGAACCCATGCTTTTTGCCCCTCTGCTATACTATGAGATAGTCATTATGATCCCCTGATCAGACAACATGAAATGGAAATTCAGAGAGGTGAAATTACTTGGCTAAGGTCACACAGCTCATCGGGAATGGAACCGATACCCAAGCCCAGATGTATGGCTCATAAACCCGTACTGCAGGACACTTCCCAGATCTGAGGCTACTCCTCTGGAGCCAGGTCTGCAGGTAGCAGCAGCAGCAGGCAGACGGGTGGACCTGCTGATGTCAGTGGGCCAGGCAGAGCTTTTTCTAGTCCCCGGGTGACCCCTACTGGCAGTAAGTCAAACAGCAGGGCCCTGGGCCCGTCCGGGACAAGAGGGTGAGTATGGGGCCTCAGGGGGTGCACAGGGCTGAGTCCCTTCTCTCCCCTCTGCAGTTCTCTGTGGACATTGACTCTGACCTAGTGGAGGAGCTGCCAGCCGAGATCGAGCTGTGGCTGGTGCTTGTGGCCGTGAGTGCAGGGCTGCTGCTGCTGGGGCTGATCATCCTCTTGCTGTGGAAGGTTAGGACCCCCAACCCGCCTCTGGGACTCCCACTCTGGGACATCCTGCCAGCAGACTCTCACCAATCCTCCCTTCACCCATGTCTCCCCCTCACATTCCTCATTTCCATGTCACCCGCACCCTTTCCCTGTCCTCCCCACCTTCTCCCCAGTGCAGTCTCAACCCAGCCTGGGTTAATGGGGGAGCTGCAAGCTGGAGAGGGGAGCCCAGGAGCTCTGGCATCTGGCCACACCACCAAGCTGGGGCTGGACTCAGGCATCCAGGCTCCCTAGCCCTAACCCCAGTCCATGAGTGCTGCTGGCAAGGACACCCCAGAGCCCCCCTGATGGCCCCTCCCCACCTCCTCCCCTCCGCAGTGCGGCTTCTTCAAGCGAGCCCGCACTCGCGCCCTGTATGAAGCTAAGAGGCAGAAGGCGGAGATGAAGAGCCAGCCGTCAGAGACAGAGAGGCTGACCGACGACTACTGAGGGGGCAGCCCCCCGCCCCCGGCCCACCTGGGTAACGCGGCCTCCGCACCCTCTTCCCTGAGCCCCACAGCTGGCCGGGGCCTCTGACTCTGTCCTGTCTGCTCCTCTTCCCTACGGGCCCGCTCTGCCCTCACCCTGTGCCCACCACCACTGCACAGAGCAGGCTGCCCTGTCCCACTCCCCTTCATCCTCTCTGGGCTGGCTCTCACCAGCCTCCCTCTGGGCCTCTTAGGGGCTTGGGAAAAAACCCTCCCCTGATCACCCTGCTTTCAAGGGATTGGAAATGGGTTAGAGGCAAGGCTAGGCCCCATCTCTGTAGGCCACAAGATGTATCCAGAATGATTCTACCCCCAGTCCCACCCGCAGGGAAGGAGGGGACATGTAGAGTCCTTCCTGTGGGACCCACTGTTCCTCCTGAGCACCTGCCCCAGGAAAACAAACTGACAACATGGTCATCAGGGCGGATCACTACCCTTCCTGGCCATTCCGTCAGCAGTCTCTGCAGCTGCCCTTCAGTCTGCATCTGCCTCTTCCTCTCCTCTCTGCCTTCCTCAACTCCTTCTTCCTCTGGGGCCTGGGGTGGGGAACTTCATCCTCCTGTCTCAGTGCAGGGAGATGGGGTGTGTTTCAATCAGGGGTCCTGGCTTTGAGGACCTCTGGGTGGAGGAGGAAGAGCTGGGTACACCTTTCCCCGGCTCAAGTGCTGGATGCCGACACTCTTTCTCTTCTCCCCCAAAACTCCAGTGTGACTTCTTTAAGCGCACCCACTATTACCGGATCATGCCCAAGTACTACGCAGTTCGGATCCGTGAGGAGGAGCGCTACCCACCTCCAGGGAGCAACCTGCCCACCAAGAAGCACTGGGTGACCAGCTGGCAGACTCGGGATCGATACTACTGATATCCTCTCTGATCCTACCCCCCGCATCCCCCAGTGCCCCCTCTTTTCCTATTTATCATAAGTTATGCCTCTGACAGTCCACAGGGGCTGCTGCCTTTGGCTGGCACCAGGAGGCTCAGGCACATGCACCTCTTCAAGCACGTGCATGTGCTGTCTGGCCACGGGCATCTCCTGCAGGAGGGCTGGACCCATGGACCTTGCAGTGCCGAGAACACTGCAGCCCTGTGCCCTGGACACACGTGGGGCCCACCGCTTGTGGGCTGTGCTTGTGCACCATGGATGGTGTGTGACATGCCATGTCTCAGCCTCTGCCTGTGCCAAAACCAAGCCAAAGGGCCTCCACCAGGGCCAGGAGGAAACGGCCCCCCATGTGGTGACACCTCGCCCTTTCACACTGGATCCATCTTGAGCCATAGTCACTGGATTGACTTTGCTGTCAAGAGTAAAACTACTCAGAGGGAGCAGCTCACTGGGCCCCCAGCTGTGGCTCCCCAGCACCCACGCCAGACAGCTGGGGGTCCTGCCTAAGGTTGTCCAGGGGGTATTTGTATGACCTGGCACGCTTAGACTCAAGGGCAAATGAACTAGAAAGAAGGTCCCCACAATGGCTTTCTTTCATGGATCTCTGTGAAGCCTCTCTTCTTAGTGACAGACTGAACTATCAGGGGGTGCAGCCTAGAGGAACAAAGACAGACAATCTACTAGATAGCCTGGACATGCTGTGTTGGGACTGCCTTGGGAGCATGACAGAATCCTCCTGGGCCACACAGATGTTGGAAGGATACAGAGGAGATACGACTTCTGACCCACCACTACCATCCAACCTCAGAAGGGCCCGGAGAGACCCTACAAGACCATGGAGGGAACGACGCTTGAATGTAGAACAGGGAGGGGGGCCCTGGCCCTGCCCCATCCAGCCAGACCCCACTTTGTCCCCCCCAAACCTCCCCCACTGTGACCATGGGTGGGGGGCCTAGAGGTGGAGTTCTTGGTCTTCCTTGGCTTTCAGAGCCAGCCTGGCTTTGCTCCCTCCACCATGGGCTGGGTCCTGACATCCATTGCAGAAGTTGAGGCTGGTTCCAGAAAACCTCTCTTGACCCCTGCCTGTTGGCAGACCCACTCCCCAACCCCTACCCCTTCCATGGTACTGTAGCAGGGGAGCTCCTCCCCTCCTTGTGCCTTCTTTATATATAGGCTTCTCACAGCGACCAATAAACAGCTCCCAGTTTGTACATGCCGTTCCTGCCTCCATCCACCCCCGCCCCTTACCAGCCCTAGTACAATCTGGATGCATAATGACATCATCCAGCTGACCCCTAGGTGGACAAAGCCAGGCCTGTGGTCTTGCAGGTTTGAGGGTGAAGATCTGCGGAGACACCAGCCCCTGCTGTCAGGGATGCTCCTGTCTAACGGATGGCCATAGACATGTAATTGATCCGGAACATATGAGGGAAGAGACCTGAACAGACTGGCTGGAATCCAAAAGGCTTCTTGGAGGACAGTGTGCTGGCCCTGGGGAGGAGGTGGGGAGAGGTGGCGGTGTGCAGGGTCGGGAAGAGGCAGGAAGCTACTTTGCTGTGGGAGCAGGTTGTCCCTGCTGATAATGGAGGGAGGCTGGGTGCAAGACTGGAGAGCTGGGGGCCCTCTGCCAGTGGCTGACTTCAGATAAGTGCCTGCTTTTCCGCCTCCATTTCCTCATCACCACCCCAAGGCACCATGATGAGATCAGAAGGTGCACCCGTGACCCAAGGCTACAAAGACTGAAAGGTCATGGTGTCCATTCCCCAGCCTCTAGGCAGGAGTCCCCGGAGCCCTAGTCTTTTGGAAGTTCCTCAGGAGTGTTTCAGTACTGAGCTTAAGTAGCCACATCATTTGTTTCTTTTTTGTTTTATTTCTTTTACTTTTTCTTCTTTTTTCCTTTTTTTGTTCTGGCCACATCATTTGGATCAAGTCCTTGCTTTGCATACCGCCACTTTCTGGGGTTCCTGGAGCAGCTTCCTCCTCTGTGCTAAGGTTGTCCCTTCCACACAGGTCTAGGGAACGGAGCAAGGCTGTCCTCCGCATGACTTCTTTGACTTAAATTGTGGCACAGGTCCTTCTGTTAATTTTCCCCAAGGCTACATAGGACCTTTGGCAAGACCACTGAAAGCTGGAAATTACTACCCAGAGAAACCTAGAGGCAGATCCCAGACTTAACCGCTCTCAGAGCCCCTGGACCCAAGCTGTTCTGGGAGTCCCTCTTGATGTCTGCCTGGGTGTCGCCCAGCTCCTCGTCATGGCAGCAGTCTGACCTCCACTCCCTCCTCCAGGGCCCACCTCACCTCTCTTGCCCCACCACGCCCCCTTATTTTCTGTGCTGGGATTTTCCTCTTCCAAGGATGATTGACAATGTAACGTCCAATTCCCCTAGGAAAACCCCAGCCCCTACCCGGAGCTGCCAAGCTCTCAGAACCCAGTGATTGGAGGTCTCACTTTGTTTTCCACAATCTGGGATTAACAGCACAAGTGGATTGTCAAAGCCCAGCTCAGTTCTATCCTTACAGCCACTTCCCACTTAAGACAAGAGGGTTTAAAAAAAAAAAAAAAAGACAAGGGGTTTACACATCTCTCTGGCCAGCTTCACAGGCCCAGCCCCCAGTCTCCTGTGAGCTGCTGCTTGGACAAGAACACACACATGCACACACACACCTGAGAATAAGAAGTCATTTTCAGGATGAATTCAGCTGCACTTTTATGAAGTAACTGGCAGAGATGCAGTGATGCCCACTGTAAAATGACCCTTTACAATGCCAAGCTTCTTGAGTTCCTTGGAGCTGTAGTATCTCCAAACTCTATTCCAGAAGAGGGTCTTCGCTCCTGCATCACTTAAAAGGACCCATCAAGGTGATTCTTCCCCTTCTGGGCACATGGTGGGATTGTGCTTCCTGGGCCCTCCTGATTGGATGAAACCATGTGACTAATTCCAGCCAAGGAGTTGTGAGCAGGAAGAAAGTGGATCACTTCTAGGCTGAAACATTGCTGGTGTGAAACCCTCCCAGTTTCCCCCCGCCTGCTCTGCTGTAGTGGAAGCCTGTACTGAGATAAAGCTTCTGTCAGTCTGAGTCCCTGAGAAACCCCCACCAACCAACGTACATGTAGTGGGACATCTGGGGATTTTGGGGGGTTTTTGTTACTTCAGTATCACCTAACCTAGCTTGATTGATACACCACATGCACCATGCTACTGTTACCACCCTGCAGCCATTTCTGCAGAAGGAATTTTTTTCACAGAAGGAATTTTTATCCAATTACAGAGCCCACATTATGGAAGCCTAGATCTAAGGCGAGGATCAAGGGAAATAACTTTCGCTCTCCTATACCTCGCCTCAGAGGCCATGGTCTTTTCCTTGTTACTTTAATTTTGACAATAATTGTAACAGCTGCCATTTATTGCTCAGCACAGGGCTAGGCTTTTTATATACAGTCATGTATTGCTTAACGACAGGGATATATTCTGAAATATGCATCGTTAGGAGATTTCATCAGTTGTGTGAACATCATAGAGTGTACTTACACAACCTAGACGGTATAGGCTACTGCAAACCTAGGCTATATGGTATAGCCTGTTGCTCCTAGGCTGCAAATCTGTACAGCATGTTACTGTACTGAATACTGCAGGCAACTGTAACATAATGGTAAGTATTTGTGTTTCTAAACATAGAAAAGGTACATTAAAAATACTCTTGTGGGACCACCATTGTACTTGTATATGCGGTCCATCATTGACCTAAATATTCTTCTGCAGCACATGAGAATATACTCTTCTGGGCCCATATACTCTTCTGGGCACTTGGACACTGCACTACCAACATCACCGATCCCTCCTAATTGCTAGCCCCAATGGAAGTTTGGTGGAACCCCCTGATATCTCTGTGGCATGTCTCCCTGCCAACTCCACCTTCTTTGTCCACCCTGTCCTCCCTGCTATGTGCCAGGCACTGTGCCTGGTGCTGGAGATAGAGCAGTAAGACAGACACAACCCCTGTCCTCATGGAGCTTAAAGCCTAGTGGGGAAGACAGATCAGACAGCAAACATCACTCAGTGTGTTAACATCGAACTAAGGTTAGGAAATTTAAGGAACCCGTGGAGGGAGCCCATAACCCACAGGGCAGGGTCAGGGAAGGTTTCCAGGAGAAAGGGATAACTAAGCAGCTGAGACCTGAAGAATGGGTAGGTGAAGTTGAGAAGAAAGAATGATCCAGACCAAGGAGATAACATCTGCAATGGCTTGGAGATTAGAGGCTGGTTCAAGGCAGCATATAAGTACAGCTGGGAGTTGAGCAGGGGAATATGGAGAGAAGAGGCTGGAAAGTTAAGCCAAAGCAGATCATGAGACAACTGGGAAGGCTCCAGTAAGAAGAGGAGAGCCATTGAAGGGCGGTGAGCAGGGAAGTAACAAGATTTGTAGTTGTGAGTGATTCCTGATCTACAAAATGGGGATGACAATAGTACGGTAGAGCTGTGTGGAGAATTAAATGAGATAATGCATGCAAATAGTGCCTGGCAAATAGATTATTATTCATTCAGCTAAGAGTCCCTTCCATTGTGAAGCCTTGCCCTGTGTAGGCTATAATTGCATTCTAATATAACTATTTACTTATGCAGCTATTTCCCAGACTGAGAAATAATCAAGGGAAAAGGCCATGTCTTGAGTCTGTGTTTCCTGTTCCCAGCACAAAGCCTAGCACGTATCAGGCACTCGGTAAGTGCCAGCCAAGGATGACAGTCAAGAGTAAAGCATCAAAGTGGTCCAAGATGGGACATACACCATTCGACCACAAGAGGGCGCACGACCTTTCCTACAAGAGAGGCGGGGCTGAAGGGGAAGGGCGGGCTCCTTCCCCCACCTGCTCCCCAGGACTCACCACCTGGGACCTTTCCCTAAGCAAACCCGGTGCGAAGAAGGTTGCTTTCTCAGGTGGTCGCGCTAGATGTCCCAGGCTTTGTGTTCAGTCAGATGAGCTAGATGATAATAAAATCAAAGTGTTTCGAAAATTAGCACTGATGGTAGCTGCTGCCTGCACCGCCGCTAGGCGTGGGGGTTTTGACCTGGTTGTTTTTCAACTGGAAAAGCAAAACGCCGCCTTTTCCTGAGCCGCTTGGATCTTTGTGGAGGCGGATGGGCTGCTCGTAACTAGGACAGATTAGGATAGGTTTGCATCCTCATTCCGAATTTTGCAAATATTCACAGTCCGGGCCACTGTCACCCACAAGACTCCCTAAGAGATTGCAGGTAGGGGTCGAGACAGGTGGAACAGGTTCCTGTGGATTCGTAGAAAGCTACCCGGACAATTCAGGAAAGGAAGGGTTAAAAGGAACTGGCAAGTGAAGGAGGCATGGGGAGGGAGCGAGGGGAAGACAGGGCTGGCGGCCTCTGGGGAGGAAAGGGTTAAGGCGGGCCTGGCCCCTGGTAGCCAAGGGAGGGGAGAGTGGACGGAGGCGGGATCTCTGCGCGGCCTCGGGAAAACAACAGGCCTCCCCCGGCAAAGACCGGGTTAAGGGGGCGTGCCCGGAGGGAAGCCACGTGCCGCGGCGGAAGGCTATTGGTTCTCCTGGGGTTGTTTGTGAGCGGCCATTGGCGACGTCGGCGCAACGTGACGAGCCGATTGGCTGGGCGTCGGAGGACCGGCCAGGCCTGGGCTGGGGAGGAGGCGGCCGAAGCGCTTCGCTGGGCAGGGCCGGGCCGAGCGGAGCGCGAGCTCTACCCGCGCGGGACCTGATCCCAAGCTCGAACCCGAGCCGCGGCCGCCATGCGCTGGGTCCGGGCGCTGCTGAAGAATGCGTCCCTGGCGGGGGCGCCCAAGTACATCGAGCACTTCAGCAAGTTCTCCCCGTCCCCCCTGTCCATGAAGCAATTCCTGGACTTCGGTACGGAGGGGGCGGGAGGCAGCTGGCAGCAGGGCCCGCGGGGGCTGCGAGGGGCAGCCGGGCAGTGGGGGAGGCGAATGAAGGGTCCTGACGAGGAAGGGTTAACGAGGGGTGGGGGGAAGGGCCCTCAGTGACAGGGAAGGGTTGCTTGGAGGAGTACAGGCAGGAAGGGGTTAAAGAGAGGCAGGGACGGCCGGGGCCTGAAAAGGTTAAGGGTGCCCCGTCTAAAGAGACTCGAGACTGGACTGTTAATGGGAATGGGGGGCCCTGAGAAGAACGGAGGTCCAAGGTTTTTCCTTGGCTTCGTGAGGGGTCTTGGGGAGT